CAGTGTATTGTAAACAGTGTATTGCCGTGTAATAAAAATTTCTGGTTGAATATGGACGAACCAGATAATTCCTGTAGGATTTACCAGAATTCCTGTAGGATTTACCAGAATTCCTGTAATCCTACAGAAATTCTGGTAAATCCTAAAGGAATTATCTGATTCGTCCATATTCAACCAGAAATTTTTTTCAGTGTATTGTAAACAGTGTATTGCCGTGTAATAAAAATTTCTGGTTGAATATGGACGAACCAGATAATTCCTGTAGGATTTACCAGAATTCCTGTAATCCTACAGAAATTCTGGTAAATCCTACAGGAATTATCTGGTTCGTCCATATTCAACCAGAAATTTTTTTCAGTGTATGCGCGAACATAAGATTGCTACTGTTCTCCCCTTGGTTCTCCCTGTTTGCCATCAGAATCGCACAGCGTTCGCGACGAAAATTTGTACACCGAACGTCTTCTCGGCTCTTTTCATCCCGGTTATGGTACATTTGCCGTCGGTTATAATTGTACGTTTCCCTCTTTAAGTGGAGGATCTGTCGAATTACGAAAAACGATCGATCGTAATAGAACATTTGCTATAAGCCGCCAGAATTTTAGAAACAAATTTGCCTGCTATGCCAATAATACGGTGGGTAATCTGATTGGAGAGCGTACTTTGATAACGCAATAACTTATAATTAGATGATCGCGATGGCCGTATTAACAGGTATTATTATAACGGCGTTACGATAGATAGCCGCTACGTTAATAACTACATTCGATATGTACTGTGTACATTTCACGCGTAAAAACTGAATACCATTAAAGTTTAATGGAGTGGTTAATTCACTCGATAAAAGGTGCAAATGCATCACGATACTGCATCATTACGCGCTGGGGAAAAAGATTATATTATTATGTCGTGTTCGCTGTTCAATTGTTGAACACATTTATTCACGAGTATTTGGAAAATTGTAGCCTAATGTAAGGAAGATTTGTCGAAGCGCGATCATTTTGATCAAAATTATAAACTCGAGATCGGGTACGGTATACATTAAAAATTGCGTATTCCCCTCGCTTATAATTTTTGTTGCTGTGACATAAATTGATAATTATTTCGGAATATTGTTATAACTCGTGATACAATCCATGAACTTTCATTATTTAATTGTATCTGTCAAAATTTAAGATCCGACGTCAGTCATCTGTTGTTCGTTCGTTGTAGCATGACGTAATTTTCAATAATTTTCTTTGCTCCATAATGTCATCGAACGCATGTATGCGTGTGTACGCGTGATGTAGCGGTTTTTCATAAGCGCGGAAAATAGTAGGCGAAACAGTACGTCGGCACATTTGAGAAGACGATGGGATACATGCTTTTATAAATAGACTGCGGCTTAAGCCATTACGTCGATGATGGCAGTCTTTGCCCGACAAGCGGGTTACAGGTTCGTTAACATGATCGACCGTTTAACGAGCGACAATTATTTCCTGGCAACGAGTCCGCGAATACCGTGCAGCGGCAAAATTCGAAAAGCCCGGGGGCACGTCGGCCGAGAATCGTTTTGATTCCCGGATGGCAAAGCTCTCGCCGGCTGTTGCTGTAGGTCAGAGTTCAGCCGATTAGCCCCGCGGCGTGATTATACGCCGATTCGATATCGGTGTCATTGGCGTTGATTATCCGCCAAACGAAAACTCGATATACCCGGGTCCCGCGCTCCCGTTCCCGCAGCCGTTCCCTACATTCCGCTCCCCGTCATTCTTTCCCATCCACCTTGGGATCCACTTCCCGCTCTTCGCCAATCTTTCCACCAGCTCTTCTTTTTCTCAAACGGTGCGGAATCGTTCCGCTCTTGCCGACGAATCACCGAGAATACCATTTCCTCCGCGTCGTCGACAGGTGCCCAGACCCGAGATATCTATTTTCCATATCCAGGATTTTTCTTCTCGCTCATCCGCTCGCCACCTTCACTCCTATCTTCGCCCCTACCTCCATGTTATTTGTTCATGCTAGATTTTTCAATCTTGAAGAGAGAAAGAGAGAGAGAGAGAGGAGAGTGAGAGCGTCGAAATAAATGCAGTTGGACGATTCTCATTGACATAGTTTGTCACATCTTACAATCGGTTCTGTAATTCCAATTGCGCGCAGCTCGCGGCTCGGTTTGACCAAGGGACGTCTCCCTAAATTATCTAATAAAGTAATAGGCAATTTAGGAACAGAGAATTCAGTTCCGCGTACGCGCCGTACGCGAAGAGAGGCTGCGTTATTGCAATCGTTACGATGCAAGTGGCCGCGATCGATGCGGATCGGCAGAGGCGAGGTTCGAAGCGATTGCGGAGAAAGAGAGCGCTGATATAGAACGAATTTGGCGAATTTCCATATAAATTTGCTAGGCGCGAACGGCACACACGGCTCGCACACGGAACCAACGGGGGTGCGCAGAGCCACGTGTGCCGGGTGATGTAGAGCTTGAATTCTTGTTTTCGCTTTCTCCAACGGTGTCCGACGTCGATGCGCAAAGTGTGGCGAACTCTTGCGGCGCGTCGTAGAATATCGCCGTGTATCGCGCAAACGCCATCGCGTATTATAAATGTCGTCTTTTTTTCCCCCCTCGTTTCAGCACTCGATGCTGTACTTCTTTCATCACTACGAGCTGCCGGTGATTCTGCAGCAGGCGCACCTTCAGCAGATCCTGTTTCGTAATCATGCTCAACCCCAGGCGCAACCAGCAACGCCCAGCACGGCCCCGACCACCCCGGGTCCGTCGCCATCGCCGTCGGCGGTACCTTCGCCTTCGTCGAGCCCGTCGTCACCTCCGACGGAACGGACGCAACAAAACTACATTAGCGAGCTTTCTCAGCTTGACTTGGAATCTAGCGGCGCGGAAGAGCGGCATGCCGATGCGGACACTCAGCAAACGTCCGCGACGGCCGATCGTCGGGACGATTCTCTTCGAGGTATGACGATTTATAATATTTCCATCACCTCGCGTTATTTCCCGCATGGAGTAACCGGTTAAAAAGTCACGATGCTAAGAGGGTACATCTTTTTTTTCACATTTCGAATTTCTCACATGCCCCGCCGTATCTCGATGTGGCAACTATCGGCGAGCCTTGACGGTCAGTTGCAACTTTTAAATGCAATTATAAGCTAAATTTACTTTTAGGAATTTCCCCCCCCCCCTTTTTTTTAAAATTTGAAGAGAGCCCGCGAATAGATCAAGTAAAATTTTATTTCCTAGCGTTTTACAAGAATTAAACGTGCCACTGGATATTGTATGTTCGATCGAATTTCAATACCCGACGTACTTTTTCTATAAATCTGTGTAGAGGAACAAATTAAAATGGTATATTTCATTATACGTGCAACGTATACACCGATTTCAACTTTTATACAAGGCAGGCGAAACCTTTTTTCCCTATGACGGTGGGCGCCCTCGCGAGTTTAATTTTATGAGGAATATTAAGATTTTCACATTATCGGGCAGGACGAAAGGGAAGCTACGACACATCGAAACGACGGGCCGACGGCGCCGAAAAATGATTCAACGGAGTACCAGGGAAATATGTTTCGAGTAATTTTTGAGATATCGTATAACGTATTGTAATGGTCAATAATTCCGTGATTACGCATTCCGCGTGCCGGCTCGCGAAACGCGCGCCGCGTTTCACCGGTTTAGAGTTTTGAATGAGCACTTTGTAGATCCTGTGTCACTGACACTCGTCGCTTTGGAGCGCCTACATAGTTTGGCACGCGATACCGCGCTATCGTGTTTCAATTCGAACGATCCAACTAGCGCTGATTATTTTTCTGGGCTTTTAATTTCACCTCTCGTTTCGCGTTCGCGGCTCGGATAATCGATAATCGTTTTAACACGCGCGAGCGCTACGTCGGAAACCAGTTTGTTTACAGCTGCGGTTTGACTTACAGTTGCGCGCTGTTTATATCGCGCCGCGTTCATACCACATTGTTTGACTTTTATTACGGATATTTGTTGTCTACTAAACTCCACGGCGGTCTCTTAAGCACGGTGGCTGTTCGTGTGGCGTTATATAATTGAAAAAAAAATCTTGTGCGTTGACTCGCAGTGTCGGAAGACACAGCTGTGCTCGCCACGTCGGCTTCCGTCGCGAAAACGGAAGCGGTTTCTTCAGCGTCCGGAGCTGCGGGTTCGCTCACCGATACTTCGTCCTCCGAGGGCTTCGAGGTCATCGAGTCTGCCGAGGTGGTACGCAAGGAAGCCTCTGTCGACGGCAAGAAAGAACATTAGACTTTAACCATGCCAAGTGCGTGACAGTCCGAGCACACACAGTGGTTCGTTTCCACGCAACTGCTTCCGTCGATTTTCTCTCGTAGGGAATCGGCGCGGTTATTTTGTCACGGAAAACTTAACTATAAAGTAATACGGTCTCTCTGTCTCTCTCTTTCTCTCTCTCTCTCTCTCTCTCTCTCTCTCTCTCTCTCTCTCTCTCTCTCTCTCTCTCTCTCTCTCTCTCTCTCTCTCTCTCTCTTTTCTTTCTTTCTTTTTCTCTGTATAAGAGACTAAACAAGATACGTGTTTGACATTTGATTTCAATGAGGGTCGACTTAGAAATCAATTCTTTGAAAATGTCATGGGTTCGCTTCGAGATCGGAACCAATGGACGAAGAGGCAAAGATTTATACAGCGATGTAGTTATGGGGATGAATTTTTAATGGCTGTAATATAATAGGATTATCAGGGATCCGGTTTTGCGCAGTTATACGTTTCAATCTTAGTTTGTTACAAGTCAAACATAATAGCAAAGTTAGCCGTTGTGACTGTAATTTCAGCAATAGGACATAATCGTTTTAATTTATTACGTTTGTATGTGAACTGTTTGATAATTATTCCTTGTAATGTAATGCGTATAATTTTTTTAGTGCAATATTCCGTAAGATCGTCTTATATTTGACACCATAAGATAGGAGATTTTGTACTTATTTTTGTGTTGAAAGATACGTTAGACACAAATACAAAATATATTACGCTAAATCTCATCTTCCGATTCAAGTGCATACTCGCGCGTGGTCTCCAAATTCTTGTTAATTTGTAATTTGTTTACTTTAGAAATATATATATATATATATATATCTCTCTTATTACACGAGGTTAACTTCGGACATTTTTTTTCTGTATATGTATATGTTTCTGTTTAATTATTTTTCGTATTTACCCCGTCTCATTGACTATGTTTACACGGCACTCTAATCGGGTTTAAGGGGATGCTGGAGTGATTCTGCACTTTCGCACCTTTTGCACTTAAAACTGTCTGTTTCGTGGAAAGATTTGTGTAATACACCAATTAAATGGCACGTGTACAGATGATCGAAAGCAGCTTGTTATTCCGACTTTAAGAAATCCGTCTAATAAGAAATAATAGTGAGCAACACCACATGTACTGTATGTGTGTGTTGCTCACTATTATTTCTTATTAGACTTACAAACTTAGTTTCAGTGATGCCATACTGTTCTTTCATTTAGCCGGAATAGCGACCTGCTTTCGATCTGTACACGTAAGTCATTTAATTTGTATATTACACAAGTGTTTCCGCGAACTGATAGTTTCTAGGTTAGAAAGGTGCAAAAGTGCAGAATCACTCCAGCATCCCCTTAATAACATCCGTAGTTAAAGGGCTGGCCAATCACAGTCATTCCATTCTTCTGAGGAATAGTTGTGATTGGCCAGTTTTATAACTACGGATGTTATTAAACTTGATTAAGAATGATGTGTAAACGTAGTCATTTACTCGATGATTATATTCCGTAAAAGCGACACGGTTAAAATAGAAAGTATCTATAATCCCTTTTATCGAACGCGAAAGGACTATATAAGTTTGCTTCAACTTCACAAAGAAAGAAGATATATTTAAGATCGATTGGGGTACGCCGAAAATTTTCGCCGAATAATTTTTCGTGCAAATTCTTACAGCGAGATAGTTCAACGCTCAACTGTTGTTCGCACATCTCTGCACTCTTCGTCTTTTGAAAATGTTAGGGAAGCACCTGTTGGCGAGGCCGCTAAGATTGCAATTTTTGAGCGCAACAAATAGGATGCCCCTGAATTTTCTTTCATTCTCTCTTTTTGTTTCCTCTACATACGTTGTAGATCACGATCTACCGGAATAGAGATGCGATAGCAGCTAAGCAAGTACTTTCGCAAATAAATTTTTTGTTAACAAGCATCGAACGAAGATCATTGGAGAGTATAAGGCGATTTCTTCAGTTTACGTTATGCTGAACGTATTAATTATATAAAAAATGTTCAATCAATCGATATACAGTAGGTAAAATTATGAAGAACATTACGCGATCGTTCGCAGTGTTTCTCTCTTCAAGTATTTTTTTCGATACTTGATTGTTTTCGTTCGATTCGACTATGACTTGATAGAGATATAGGTAATGGCATAGACATGCAATCCAAGTTTTGACTAATGAATGATTTGAAATTACCGAACACTCGTGTAATGGTGTAAACATTTGTTTGACTGCGTAAGAATTTTCTTGGTGTAGATTCATACTTGGCTGATCGTACAGCCAGTAGCGAGTTATTCGGACAACACTGTATATAAAACGGATGTTGCTAACTGCTAAACGAAACGAATAGAATCGATAATGTATCTTTCGCATATTCCTTTGCTTCCCTTTGCTCCTGGTGCATTTATATTGTGTGTTTGGGATCTGGAATTTTTTTCGAACGTTTCACCCACATTTCACGGATATTTCTAATTCGCTATTTTATAATTAACCAATTAGTTTAACTTAATTAAGTTGCTGTTTGCTGGAGTGAAAAATGTTGCGCGCTTTTAGTATGAAGAAACTGAGAAGGATCGGAAACATAAATCGCGAAAGAAACCGCTTCTGACCGAATCGCCGATGCCGCATCCTCCACCTTGATGCGTTGCTACTTAGGATTAACGATAATCGTTATAGTGTAAGCTTACACTGTATAATTTATCCGTTCCGGAGACTTGTATGACATTTAATGATATATCAATATATCATTGGCAAGCGAAAGGGCATGTTTTTTTATTTTATTATGTGGACTGTGACATGTATGAAATATTGAGACGATTTATGCGAAGAAAAAAGAAACGAGACGAGCTGGCATACCAATTGGAGAGACCGATGTTAGGAACAAATGATGCGTATGTATTTATCGTGTATTGTTAATGTAATTTATCGATTTTGGCATGTATCAGTGTCCTATAAATGATATGTTGACAATGAGCTAAGCGACATTTCGACGAATAACATAATAACGGAACAAAAAAAGAAACAATTGCACGGAATTGTACAAATGTGCTCAGTTAAAAGATACAAGCTCGCAAAGAGTAGATTATTTAAGAATACTACACTGAGAAAAGTGCCCGATTAAATATAATCGGATAATCCAATTACGTAACAACAAACGGATATGTAGATATATGTATATATCCGATTAAATTGTACGTCCGATGAAAAGTGTGATCGGTTTTTCAATCAAATTTCATCGGTAACGGCATTTCATGGGATAAATTTCATCAAACGCAATCGGAAAACTTAACTATCGGGAAACACTAATTGGGTTATCCGATAACACTTTTTCTCAGTGTGTCGACTATAAAACCTCCGATTGCCGTTTTGTTGTCTCCCCAAGTCACATTTGTAGGCAAGCGCTTCTGTAAAATAGTTTTTTTTTTCATTATTTATATATCGTATATATTTCCTTTGGTTGTATATATTATCAAATGATATTGTTATTATTATCCCTATTGTGCTACTATTACTGCTGTTATTATTAGATTATGAATAAATGCAGAGATCTTATTCTATGATTCGTCTTGATTTATTATCAATTCGGGCGCTTAGCTCGCCCCCATCCCTCCCTGTGCTATCGGCGTCGCTTCGAACGGCGCCGTAAATTCGAAATTTAAAAGCGATTCTTGCGAAATTGAA